GAATATCGGGAGGAACCGTTATCTGGGGGCTATATGAAAACGTGGACCTACATGGCCCATTGACGAACTTAACCTGCCTACTGGCAAAAAAAAAAAACATGTCTGCGAAGTTGTAGTCTTCTATCTCGATTCGTTCGAAGGATAGAGTGATTACAACAGACAGACGGACATCGCTAAATCGACATAGAATTTTACGCTGATCAAGCATGTATATAATTTGTTTGGTCTTACATGAGTATTTCGAGGAGTTACAAAGGGAATGACAAAATTAATATACCCTCCATAGTATGGTGGAGGATATAAAAAACTTTGGAATATACTGTTAAAATCATCAAAATACCGAATATAGTCTATACGAAGGCTGCACGGTAAGGGGTGGACCAATATAGCTCATTTTCAGTACCAAAAGTCCTGCAGACCAAACACACATCTGCGTAATATTTTATCAACCTACTTGAATTATTTCGAAAGCTAGAGTGAATTCCACAGACGGACAGGCAGACAGGTGGACGGAAATCGTTAAATCGACATAGGATTTTATGATGATCAAGAATATACACACTTTGTGGGGTCTAAAATGTATTCTTCGAGGTGTTACAAACGGAATGGCAAACTCAATATACTATCCTGGAGGTTATAATATATTACTATAACAATAAAAAAAAATACTTTTCGTATTTCAATAAAATTCCGAAATAATACTTTTTTATTTCAAATAAAAAAATAAATTGGAATGGGTGTTTATATTGCAATTCTATTAGAGGTTGTAATATTGGGGCAATCAACATGAATCATCTGCATATATTAAACAAAAAAGCCAGCAACAACAGCAACATATGACTTGAAGTGTTCCAGCCATCGTCCTCCATTGCCAGACCTGACTGACGACTGGCTGTTCATGTGGAAGTATTTCAATTCAATTGTTCGCCTTAAGCATGAAATGGTTGGCAGCTCAATTTGAAGCAGCCATGGCAGCAGTAGCTCCAACAATAAAGAAAATATCCATAAAAGGGCTTTATTATGCTCTTGTTTTTATAGAATAATGCAATCAAGTTGAGACCCTCTACAGTTGAAGCTCCCTAGATCACACACACACACACACAGCAGTAACTAATACATATACACAATGGATATACCTCCCCAAAATTTTTGGAGTGGAAGAGGAAAGGTTTCTCAAAAACAGAAACAAAACTTCCATACTTTTGTTATACGTGTATGTGTGTGTGCGTATATTTTTTTAATCACGTTTTCTCCTCCAGACTCTCAGTTTCTCTTTTTTGTAAAAATAAATTTAGTTTCCCTGTAGTTGTAACAATTTTTTGTTCCTTTTTTTCTGTTGTACACTCTATTTAAACGTCCTGGTGTGGGTGGCTTTATGTGTGTGTTTGTGTGGTTAAGTTCCCCTTTGGTTGTAACGCCCACCTATATTTTATCTCCTCTCCCGTCGTTTTTGGTCTTGTTTTGTCTGTTCTCCATAGAATGAATATCCTTTCAGGTTTCCTTTTTTTTTACTTTTGTATTTTGAATAATACATAGAGCCATGATGTCTGTGTATGTGTGTGTGTATATAGATTTTACTACCCCAACACAGATACATTTCTATTTTTTGGGGGTTGTTTGCCCGTTGTGCCGCGCATGATTCTCCCCCATTCGGTCGAGTTGTGAGAGTAAATTCAATGGAGTTTTTTTTTGTTTTTAGCCCCAAGGCTCCATTGTTGTGTGTTGGGGTTTTTTTATTTTTCTTCTTTCGGGTTTTTTAATGGCAATTTTCTTTCTCTGTGTCGTTTGGGAGGGGGGAGGTTGGATTGTGGAATGGGGGGGGGGGTGAAATGGCATTTTGTGTTGCCTTTGGGAGTCATCGATTTCAATTTGGTTAGTTAGTTACTTACAAAATGAAATAATCTTATAAATTACGTTTTATATTCTTATCTTCTTTTTTTTCGGAATAGATTTTCCTCGATTAGATACCGAAAAATGTTACTTCTCCTCCCTCCTTCTCCTCCCCTAACATCTGAGAATACCTCTAAGGGATTGTTGGATTTGCTGCCATTGCTCCGGTTTTTTGTTGTTGTTGTTGTTGTTATTAATTTTGTGGCAAAGTTGATTGGGTAATTTTGTTTAAGTTTTAATGACTGTAATTTTGTTTCTTCTTTGTCTTCTCCATCTTCTGCTGCTGCTGCTTTTGTTGAACTTTGTGGTTCAATGTGTAAACGAAAGGATACGTTGTAATTGAAAGGATAATCAATGAAATATGAAAGTAATTCAATGAAGGGGTTTTTTCTCTTTTCGGTTATAAATGATGAGAGATGATGATGATGGTAAAGATGTGAGTTTTTGAGAATTGTGTTGGGAGGGATAAATCGAGAATTTTAATTAAACATTTAAACATTTATTTGGATGGGATTTTATTTATGAAACTCTACGAAACCACAAAATTTGAGAGTGACTTGAGCTGACTGACCTATTACAGTGTAATATTAACAAACCAGCTTCTGCATTACCAGGAGATTGAAAATTACTTATATCTCAACCAATCAAAATAATAAAATGCTGCAAGATTTATGTGATAAATCGGTCCATGTTTTGGTAAAGCCTCCATATAACGGTTCAACCAGATGTATAGGTATTTTGCATGTTAGTAACATTACTTCGGCAGACTTATAGACTTATAATTTTAATTTGAAGATCTCATTGAAACGTGATTTTTGTACAAAACATGTTAAGAAGAATCAGTCAGTTTTTTCCCTCAGCCTTCATAATCATAACATTCAAACTGTTGACCCTTCATGGAACAAGGAGGGGGGGGGGGGGGTGTTCCGAAGGAGTGAGCCAATATTTTCCATTTCGTATCTAACCTAAGTGAGATATAAATATTACGACGTCTCAGATTGACTTCTTACATCCCTTTTTATGAGATGTGTTATGTTTTTTGATAAATGTTGAAAATCGAACATTTTTTTCAGTTTCAGGCGAAAAAATTATAATCAAAATGTTAAACTTTTGAGGAGAAGCTACCGGAAGATGTGGGCCGATAGATTCCATATTCACATAAGATCTCTAGTTTGGAGAGATATTTAGATGTTCTAAGCAGGAAAAGAATCGCTGACTTTTTTCGCTAGTTATGAAGGGGAGATACCAGAAAGAGAGGCTGATATCTACCATCTTCTCACCAGATATTTTGTTAGTATGTGTGAAGAGAACCGGATGCTTATTTCGGATTTTATCAGATACCTTCTTCGAGGGTTTTCGTGTGCATCAGCCAACCAGATAGATGGACGAATGGAGCGACGGACAGACACCGCTATATCGATTCCAAATATCCAAAATTCGTCCAAAGAGACCGTTATTTCGATGAGAAAAATTTTGAAATGAAAAAACTGCAGCCAACTTCAGACTGCTGTCATTTCTAAGCCACTTATCCGACAGCTGTTAAAATTATTCCAGTGACAGCTCATTATATTGTTTACAAGCGTACAAGGCATTTTGGTGAGAATTTTCCAGAAAAAAGTTATTCGCCAAGGAATTCATGCGTGATAGTGTGATTTCTTTATATTTTGCTGGAAAACCACAAGTCGCTATCGTTCCAGCATTTAAATGTGAATGAACCTTTTGTGTCTCGTATCGTAGCTCGTTACCGTGATACTGGTAGCGTAGCCCGGCACCAAGGGAGTGGCCGGAAGAAAACAGCAACATCAGCAGAAATGGTTCGAAAAGTAAAGAATTGACTTGATCGAAACCCGTGACGCAGTGGCTGAAAAATGGCTCGTGAGCTGAACATATCGCAATATCCCATTCGGCAAATATTGAAAACTGAGATAATGGGAGAGATAAGATGAGGGATAAAGCCATTGAAATTCCAAAAACTGCAAGAACAGAAAGAAAATAGGCTCAAAATAGCTAAAGGGTTGCTTCGCTTGGCCGAGAGTTTTGAACTGCCGAATTTGGTTTTCTCCGTGTCCGATGAGAAAGCATTCGTTGTCAAAGAGGTCAGCTGAAATTTTGCACCTCCGGTTGGCCACCAGAACTCAAACGCCGGCCATGGTGATGGTGTGGGCCGCAATAACAGTCGATGGCCGCTCTCCGCTCGTATTAATCGACCATGGCATTAAAATAAATGCCGAATATTATTTTATATTATATTATAATATTATATATATTATAATATTCTGGAGGGAGACCTTGGACATTCCAACAGGACAGCACCATCGCACTCAGCATGCGCAACCCAAAAAAGGTTAACAAATGAGGTTCCTCGCTTCACTTCCAGTGCACAATGGCCACCACCAATCCGGATACCAAGCCGTTGGACTATTGTGTCTGGAGTATTTTGGAAAGCAAGGTTGGCACTAAAAAATACCAAAGTATCGATCACCTCAAGCAAGAGCTTCGCCGTGAATGGGCCAAAATACCGCAGAGCAACATTCGGGTGACGTGTGACGGTTTCATTGACCGTTTGAAGGCCATAATTCGTGTCAAAGGTGACCAATTCGACCAAATCTAAACTTATTCTAAAATTTGATGCTATTTCCGACATTTTTTGCTTTCATTCAATAAAATTAAAAAATAAAATGTAAAAATTATGGCGTTTGACTTTGTTGCAGTTTTATTATCTCACCCTGGATATGTATCCATCATGTCATTATATGTGGCCTCTATGAAGACGTGACCTACATAGACAATTTTCCGCCGTAGGTTGCAGTACCCATTTTGTGCTTCACATACGAAATACATGAAGACTTGAACCTTCATTCGCCAATTTTTGTCATAGGCTGTTGAATTCATTAAAAAAATTTGAAACAATTACGAATATCGGGTAGAGGTTGAAGTACTCAGAAGGAACTCCAATTGTAGAATTTTAGACAATTCCATTAAAAAATGTGACTAAATTCATCAAAATACCGAATATCGGGGAGTGCCGCAAGGTGGACCTATATAGCCAATTTTCAATACCAAAAGTCCTGCAAACCTAACACACATGTGAATAAATTTGATCAACCTACTTCACTTTGTTCGGAAGCTATCGTGACGTTTATTTTTTATTTTCCAAGTCTTTTCCGATGTCGATCAAATAATGACATTGGAGAGAACAATTTTTCTGAACATTTACATTTTGCACACAAGTCTTATTTAATTATGCCAGGTTTTTCATGGAAAAATTACCAATATCTTGAGTCAAAAATTGTAACATATCTACTGCACAGATTATTGGAATTTTATATTTTTGTATAAGACTTCTATGGAATTGTATGTTCATATATGGCCTCAATGACTCGTTCTATACATCAAAATTTTCGAAATGATAGTTTCAATACTCGAAGAAGAGTCCTTTGTAACAGAAATGATACACATTGCGGTTATTCTTTGAAAATCTGCAATTAATACACATTAGAAGTTTACCTGCAGAAGAATACGAGGCTTAATCAATCTTCAAGTATTATTTCGACAAATGATAGTTATTTACCCATCTGTTGACATCCCAACCCTCAACTGGTTAATAATTAGACCTCTTATAACATAATTTGCCATTGTCATCAAATCTATAATTTTCCATTCTATACACCAAAAAAACTACTACTTTTCCTAACACCACCCCCTCCTCCCACTTTCCTCTCCCTGGTCGTTCATCCAACACCATAATTCAGGATAATACCCTAATAAACAAACGGATCATTAAACAATTTGTCAAATAACAATCATTGAAATCAGGCATGACTGGCAGCAGAAGCAGCAACAACAAAACAGAAAATATGTTACAACAACTACCACTAACCACAAACACCATACAGACCAGAAGACGGAATTCCTTGAGGCCTTCTAAGGCTATCATAGGAAAAAAATGTTTCAAGTCCTTTTCACCCGACGTTAAGTGAAAAAATAATAGTTGCTGCCTTCCCCAAGAACTTAATATTCATGAAACCAATAGCACGGCCTGAGGCCACACAGCAGAGGGAAAAAGGGGTTTGTCTGTAAGAGTAAACACACCCAGTAGCTGGTGCATGGCTGGCTGTTTGATTTTTGCTCCTTAGACTGGTTGTAAAATTTCTATTTTGTTTTTGCTGCACAAAACGGGAGAAAGTTGTGCCATTCCAACCCATTTGCTGTTTGGTCTGGCAGATTTGGATAATTGCATTTGGTGGAGTAATCCTTTAATGCCCTCTGTTGTGCTACTGTGCAGCGTACTACTGCTAGGCAAAAGGATGCCGATGTCGATGATGTTTCTTTTTTGTTCTTCCGAAACATGTTCATTTGATAAATACCCGAAGAAGGGGTGTCACAACTACCCCGCAATGAGTGTTTGTGGTTAGCCCATAACCCATACCACAGAGAGCCCGAAACGCCCAAGGCCATGCCAAGAAGGGTAATCGAGCTAAAGAGTTTGTGTTGTTGGCCGAAAATAAGCTTAGCATTAACACATCTGTTCTATTCACTCAACAATGCTGCCGAGCAGCTACGCACATTTGCCACTTTTGACACAGTGGCAAGCCGGACAAAAAATGAAAAAAAAAAGTTTGAAGTGTTTGTTTTTTTAAACGTTTCCTTAACACAAGACCCCTTCGATCTGGCCCTTAGAATAATCAGTTGTTTATTCATCATTGTAATAACATATTCACCCTCTCTCAAATTTTGTTTTGTTTTTGGTATTTTTTTGGTGTTCAATCCGCCTTTGTAATAATGTTGCACATTTGTAAACAGCAGCGATGATGACGAGGATGATTTGGCTGCGCTTCAATGCATTTGCAGCTCATTTTGCTGGAGGTGATATCGCTCTATTTGCTTTCCATATGCCATGAATTTTGAACAAATTGAAGACTTGTTATCGATAAGAGGTCCTTTCAATTGTTGGAGAATATGAAAATTTGAATTTGAATGAAAATATTTTATTTCGAATTTCCAGAAAGCGACGATGACTTGAAAGCATTGGCCAACTTGATTTTGAAAAAAGGAAGAATATGGTTGAACATAAATTATTAATTAATTTCTGAATTTTATTATAATTCCGAAATTCAATTTAATACAAAAAAAAAAAATTAATAAAAAATAAAAGTTTTCGTAAAATTTTTAAATAACGTGGCATTTTCTACCCCTTTCACGCGAAAAGTGATGCTCAAGTCAAGTTTTATGACATTAGCCACACTCCATCTCACTTAGTGCAATGTATACCTTTTTAGTACCAAAAGGGACAACTTTTTTGGTCAAATTATGTGGAATACCTAATCTTAGTTAGAGAAAAATAACATACAAATAAGTTAAAAATTATCAGTTTTGCCGACAATTGTATAACCTCAACCAATGTTCGAAGATTTAAATATATTTTGACTTCTGTTATGATTATTCGAATTGTTGACCCTCTATGGAGTCGGTTCCGAAAGAATGGTCCAATATTGTCCATTTCATATGGGACTTCAAAAAATATGATAAAAATATTGCGACGTGCCAGGTTTGGACTAAATCGACTACTTGCTTTACTTTATTTGAAATATGTGATAAATTTTAGAAAATATTGAAATGTGCGTGAGGTACCATACCCAGTGAATTGAAGTATTCCATTTTCACATTTCCTCTAACACATATACAAATTCTGGTATAGGCAAAATTACAAGAAAATCTAACATTTCACGAAATTAAAAAATTCCGGCTTTCTAGTTGAGAGAAATTTTTAGATATAGTAAGTTGTAAAGAATCGCTGACTTGTTTCGCAATTATGACAGATAAAAGTATTGAAAATTGTGACCCTTTGTGGTGAGTGAGATGCCAGAGGGGATTCTCAGGTATGTATCATCTTCACAACAGATCTTGTGTTAGCAAAAATGTTTGTTTTGTTATGTCGCTTTCTTTGATCGTTTTATTTTTCAAAATCTTGAACCCTATGTGGGAGAGGTACCAGAAGAAATGGTCCGATCTCTAAAAATGTTTACCCTTGTGGGGTAGGTACCAGAAGGAGTGGACCGATATATCCCATCTTCAGAGTAGATCTTGTGTTAGTAAAAAAAATGTGATGTGTGAAATGCGAAGAGAACCGGATGCTTATTTCGGATTTTATGATCGTTTTGGTGGAGGTACCAGAAGGAATGGTCCGATCTCTATCATTTTTATAAGAGATTTAGTTCTGATAGATATATATTGAGATGTGCCAAGTCTGAATGGAATTGAAGGTTAGTTTCGCTTTTTATGAGCTTCATAAATATTGACAATTTTTACCCTCTGTGGGGGAGGTACATGGTGAAGTGAACCGATATTTTCCATTTTCGCACCTAATTTAGCACTATGCTAACATTAGAATTTGCAAATGTTTACCAAAATCGGATCATCCTTTCTCTTTCTGTGCAGTATTTTTTTGTAATTTCGTCCATTTGTGGGGGAGGTACCAGAAAAAGTGGACCAATATTGCCCATCTCCGAACTCGATCTAAGTTTGATAATAATATTACGATGTACTAAGTTTGGACCAAATCAGATACTCCCTTCGAGAGTTGTCGTACACACCTGCCAGACAGACAGACGGACGGACGGACATAGCTAGATTGACTTCAAATTTCTTGAAACAGATTTGGTCCAAATAGACTTAGGGTCTGAAACCGCTATTTCGACTAGACACTTTTGACCGTATCAAATGATTTATACGCTTTCTAGCCATATGGCTGAGGGTATAAATATTCAAAATGTTGACCCTGTTGTGAGGAAAATACCAGAAGGAGTGGACCGATGTTACCCAACTCCGAGTTTGGACCAAATCTGATACTCTCTTCGAGAGTTTTCTTGTGAACAAGCCAGCCAGACAGACAGACGGTCGGACACCCCTAGAACGACTCCAAATGTTCTAAAATGGATTGGGTCCAAAGAGACCTAGGGTCTAAAACCGTCATTTTGGTTTATATTTTTGGTCGTATTGGTAGTATATACCCTCTGTATCCAAAAGGCTGGGGGTATAAAAATACAATGATTTCGGCTCACACCTATAATATGCAGCACTTTATAGTACCTTTTCGTACAAATTACATATAAAAGATAAATTTATTGAAATTTCTGAAACTCTAGCTCCTTTGCGCTTTTAGCTCTTTTTGTACCTGAAAAAGTTTTTGTCAATCGGATGCCGTAGGACTTTTTATCATCGTTAACAAGGACTATATTCTAAAATTAAGAATTCAGGACCTATTACTTTTGTAATTAGTACCTTTAAGTGTAATTTTCCAAAAACTCGACCTAAGCTCTTTAAATAAAATTGTGGTGTTATGATACAACTTTTTCATCCCTCCACACCAGAAGTTGTACTTAATGCAATTCGTACCAAATTTGTAGTGTTTGTAGTGTACCAAAAATGTAAGATTTCTTAAAGCATCTTTGTATAAAATAGACAAAACTGCACACAAAATTTTAGAACTCGGGCTTCGACTGAAAAATCGTAGTACTTTTTAGTACCCTTTCGTACGAGTCCCTTACAATTCTGCCATTCCTTAAAACTCTTCCACGCACCAGCATCAACCTACACCCGAAATTTCCCCTATCTAGCACTTAAAGTAGCGTTTTCATTACATTTTATGGGATTCGGGTCATTTATGTGCACTCCGCATCAGAGGTAACCTTCATGCCATTTTTTAGAATTCTTCTTCGCATATCCGAATCTACAGAAAAGAAGTTCAGAATTCTGGCACTCAAAATACCACAATTAGTACCCCTAAAAGTTATCGTACTATTTGGGATCTAGTGCTTTTAAGCACTTTTTTATACATCATTTTAACCACTTCTTACCAAAAGTGATTCTTAACCAAATTTCAGAATTTAAGATATATCTTTAACCTTTTGTATCAAAAGTGTACGAGTTTTTTGAAACAATTTAGAGAAAACTACTAACTAAATTTAAGAATTTTGTCTTTGATAGTACTATATAGCATTTTTTGGTACCTATGAGTACGAATCTCTAAGAGTAACACCTTATGGTGTACTCCGTATCGATAGTGATTTATGCGAAATCTTAAGATTCTGTTCAAAAAGCACAGATGTATAGTAGCAAAATCACATATTTTAGTACTTGTTGGTACATTTTAGTACGCATTTTCACAAACCTAGTCTTATTTCGAATTAACACACGAATTCACGTGCGAAACTTCAAGATTTTCGGCCACTCCAATTTTTCTTTTGTCCTTTCCCTTCTCTAGAAGCATTCCTTTCTAAATTTTAAATTTCGCATGTTCCTCGCTAAATATCATTCATAATATCCCCTGTTTTATTCCCTTTGTTCGTCAATATAACGTTACGTACAATTCCCTGTGGGAGTATAAACTCCAAGGTCTTCTAATATTCCATTTTTTTTTCCATTTTCCCGACCGTTAAGCTTTATTTGATTATATTTTATGAAAATTTACATTCTTAGATTATTTTAAATGACATATCATAACCAACACCCTGCTGCAGAAGAAATGCCTGCCACATTTGAGCAACAGTTCTCAAAACAACCCAAATATTTGGTGGCATGTTCGAAACAAATCCTTTGAGATTTCTTAAAATATTTTACAACCGAATCGAACATACACCAGTTACACATGACAGTTCACACACACAGTGACACACACTCGGGCAAAGGATAACCCATGTCTTGGTGGGAAAGCTCTCTGGGAGAGGTGTGGGAACATAAACTTTAATGTAATTGTTAACAATAATTTTGACACTTGATACTTTGAATTTAATTTGGATTTAACTGCGAATGTCAATTTTCATCCTTCGAACACGTGTTGCTGTCAGGTGGTTGGCAGGATTCTGAAATGGGACTGACTGTCGTCTACAACGACAAGTGCCAAGAAATTCGCTGGCTCGAGTCACTCTCGATTTTCAAGGAATTTTTGTTTAAGAAATAATATTCTGTTTTTTATGAATCCCCCATCTGGGATATACAGTCGACGTCTTTCCTTTGTTTTCTCCGAAATCCAACAATTATTTGTAATGGAATTTTATTTTCCTTTTTGACTGGCCATTTTGACATTATGCAATTATTGTACATTAAACTTGAGTCAATCTACCATTTACACTTCATCCTTGGACAGGCCACAGTCATGTTGGTCAAGCAAATCGCTGTAAATAGAGCATTTTATGAGCTGACATTTGGATGTTTTTTTTTTGGTTCTTCTTTGTTTTGGTCCTTTTTCACAATTTCTGACACAAAACGAGTGCCGACGTCCTTCGGCCCAAAACCAACAAATGATGGTATAACTGCCAAATTGTTGTTGTTGCCATATTCCCTCACGCAAAAAAGATTGACAAGGGTGTTCCACGTATGCCCGACTTCTTTTGTTCGCATTTTCCTCGACAACAAAAGTCAAGTGAGTTGTTGGGAAATAATTTGTGGCAGCCGTGCTTTGCGGGGGTTGGGTTGTGGCATCACTGAAATCATGAAAATTGTTTTGTGCGCTCTACGACTCGTTCGGAACTTGTTGGGAAGTTTTGTAATGTAATTTATGGCTAAACGTCTGTCTGAAATTTGATAGCAGGTATCATGTGTTTGTTCACTTTTCCATTTTTTTCAGCTATGTCAATTTCGGGCTTTCAATTACTCACTTTTCTTTGGCTTAGGAATCCACCCACCAATTTTAAAAATATTATTTTTAAAAGGATTATATGCGGAAGTTTCAAATTTGAGCAATTATTGTTGCGAATTTAGCTTTTGTGGTTTTATAAAAGAACCTTGGATTCGAATATTTGATATTGGGATTAAGCGTTTTTCCATCCTTAAATAAGGTATGAATTGCGAGTAATGATTTGTGTTTAAACTTTCTAAGCTATTTGAATAATAAATCATACAAAATTCAGTTTATTCCGGTAATGTATAAAAAATTGGATCCTAAAATAATTTTATGGAGAAGAAGAAGAAGAAGCACAACTATAATATAATTATTAATTCTGTCCTACAATTATGAAACAGCAATGAATGGGACTCCCTTTCTCGGGAAATTCAGGTTCTCAGAAGCAAAGATTTTCTTGTAAGATTTATTATTTACGGCAGAAT